ACCATTATGCAGCATCTTTTAATTTTTGCGTGCAGGTCCCGAACTTGTGACATTATATTTAACTGATGGATACTGAACTTATGTATTGCATGGTTTAAGTGCAAGTATGGCATAATTTTATATTGAAACRCATCAAATTAATTCAAAAAATAAAGTTTTCATAATACTTTTAATGAATCGAAAAAATTATAATTTTTTAATAGGTAGATTTGACAGTGAGACAACAAATCACCAATAACTCGTATTATTTATAGGTAATAATTAATTGTAGGTATAATATAAATATAAATGTGTTCTAAGTTCTAAAGCTAAAGTATGTCGACTCGTTTATGTCTCATAAAATAATAATTKGTAGTGCGCTTCGTGGTGGCCGTACAATGTACAGATTATGAAACACGATGAAGTCAAGGGGATACCTAGATGGTATCTATACATAGATATACATAGATATATCTATACGCAGATGCCTGATGGCAATTATAATATTTATATAATACATAATAATTAATATTTAATGATCAGTATATACTATATACATAGCCACATAGTTAATAGTCAATAGGTAGGTACGTATGTTATAATTTATTCTTTACGACGGAAGAATGAATATTTACATTTATAAGTGGGCGCATTTAACGGACCATTAGAATTTGCATTAAGTCCGAAAAAAAAATCTAGGACATACAATTTTAAAATGCTAGGTATATTATAWATGTCTGCTTGCCTTTTAATATATATTCAACCCCCCGCTCCTAAAATCAGAAGTTGAAATGGTGCCTATGAGTTACGTCAGAAGTTTTGATGCAGACATCAGTTGGAGCATAAATTCGGAGTATACACTGGTGACTGGCTTTTATAATTGTTTTTTTTACCTTACTACTAAGTACTAGGTACATAATACATTTAACATATTTTGATTTATATTTATAAATAATAATATAATACTAATGCATAGTGACACCAACCTTAAATATTCCAGATTCGCCGCTGAGACATGATCACATCAATTACGACTTCCAGTATGTTTTTTCACAGCGTCGAAATAACACCACTGTGGAAAGTTACGTCTGCTGCGCAACATAAAAGTCAAGAAAATATTTGTGTTCGGAGCTGCGCGATCACATTAYGGGTTATTCCTATCGTTTAATTATATACTATATGAGCGACGGAGTATCATGAAATACCACGTATAATAATGGATTACTGAATTACTAAGTATGTTTCTATCCATCGTCGTAGCCATTTTAACTATTGCACGAATTTATTAACGAATAATGAAATAATTGGCATTTACACCCGCCAACGCGTTGGAGTAATGTTGAAACAAAAGCTTTTGGCTTCCAAACCAGATAAATACCACGACCACAAATTCGGTTGAAATCCATTTTACGATTATCGACCGCGACCACGGTACACGGAGTTTCAAAAATAGCAAGTAGGTTGTCTAAAATCTAAATTTAAAATAATTCTGATTAACAAAAAATAGAAAAAGATATTTATTTCTTACAAGGTTGTACACTCACTCAGATTCATACTAAGATACTAATAAGTAATAATATTGTAACTACTCGTATAGTTCACTAATTCACACCACGTTTAGTTTAATAGATATATTATCGTCCATCTGGTTTCTATGTATTCACGATAGACCATAATGCCAAATCTGAAATGGCAACTGTTTAGGAGACCAGGAATTCAATTTCTTCAGTGTCTCTGGGTCTAAAATTCAAGAAAAACATTTGTGTCTTTGGTCTAAGTTTAAGAAAAAAATTAATGGTATTCTGAAATAAAAAYATTGTTTTTAACTTTTGGTAACACTTGGTAGCCTTGCACAGTTTTTCAATTCAAAAAAAAATCACACCATTGACCAACCCAAAACTTATTGCTTACTATTTTACTATTTTATTCATAAATGTAAATAAATAAATAAAAACATTAAAAACAGAGATTCATTCAATGTTATAAATATTATAATAAACAATAAAACTTTATACATACAAAATATATATGAGTATATGTAGGTACTATTTAATATTTACGTAAGCAGCTAAAACCTTCATATTAAATATACATGCTTAATATTTAGAATGATTATTTTCAAGTTTTTGAAATTAACTTATTTGATTACATTGGTCTTAAACTTACAACATTCACCGATCAATTAAATCCAAAATGCTTTTAATATTATAAGATCTAATGAAACTGATTTACAATATTAAATTGGGATCTAAAATACAATTAATACAATCACCATCATTAATTTATGGTTTAAATAACAAAAACATTATGATAATACTGTTCCACCCATATATAACTGGTGTACTGAARTATCATAATACATAATTAAATGATTTATACCATTATACACTATACAAGTCAAAAGGATTTATTAACACAATAAAGGATGGATTAATTTATAAATACATAAAAATAAAAAATACTAAATAATGTAATTGAGATCAAATATCTATATTGGTATAATTATTAAATTGTAAAAAAATATATATATATATATATTATGTTATACTATTGTATGATTATTCTAACTAAGTGTATAATAATTATTTCTTTCCATTTATTTAGTGGCAATGGGTTGAAACAAATACAGTTCAATATATTAAAATATTGCTTAGATAAGCTTTACATATTCTCAGAAATACAACTAATATAAATATATAATAGTATAGTTATACATTAATACAAACTAAAATAATATTATGAACAAAGGAGAAAGCTGTAATTAACAACTAAATCCATAAAAAATATTATTTAGCAAGCTTAGTGGATTGCTATAATGTATGTATATTAATTTGTATGTTCTATGTATTGCATATAAGCTCTTATAAGTTTAAGTTATTTGCCTAGTTTTCAAAGCTCTTTAAATAATCTAAATATGTTGAGTATAGCATTTAGTGATAACTAAAACTAGTAAATATACTTGCTTAAAAGGGAATTACCTTTTTAATTGTACAGTTATTAAATAACTAACTTTAAAGCACCGTTTTAGAATAGTTTAAACCTAATTTCTAACTATGAATTATAATAACAAAACAAAGTAATAAGATGTATAAAAATCTATGTTTAACAAATTAGAATATTAATTACTCATAAATATAAAAAAAAATTACAAGAGACAACAAAACAAAATAAAAAAACTAATACATTTCTCGCTTCACTTTAAGTTCTAATATGTTTTTTCAAACAAATATAATAAAGATGACAATTATAACTAATTAAATATTGCTTCACTATATCCAAAATATTAAACAATTCGATGAATAAATTAAAATATATTAAAATTGAAACATAAGTGCTGCTTATTAGACTCACTTTGGGGCCAGAAAATTTGAATTAATAATGTGCATGACTAAAATAAAAATATATGTATAATGTATGTAATAAATATAAACAATGAAGTTTATCACCTATTTTATCTATGATATATGTCTTAATAGTTTTTTTTTTTTTTTTATAGTAGGGGTTTACTGTAGGATGTTGTAGATATCTGTCTTTAAATCTAGAATTAATGTTAAAACATTTATAAAAAAATGTATTAAAAATTGCATTATGTGGGTGCTTTGATTTCCTTCTGAWAGTTATATGAACTATAAGATTACTAAAAAACATCAGAAAATTGAATCTACATAAAAGCATTTGGTCTAAGTCAAGTGTGGACCAGAGAGAAAACAAATGGTGCACTAACATCCTCTTAAATACTTTGGGACTTTGGTATAAAGATTTATAAGTWAWATAGAGAAATGTACTTTTAAATATTCATTATTATGTATATCATTATATTCACAAAAATGTGATAAATCGTACAATAAGTATTTAACAATCATAGGCAAATGAATAAAAATATTTGAAGATTTAAATTATCATAGTTATTTATTCAATTTAATTGACCTATTAACCACTATGGTAACTGTTTCTGTTTTAGAATACTCTATGCACCTCTAAGTAGAAATTTGACCTTTTGCAGTTGTCCACTATTAATTAGCACATGGAATAGTTAGTATRTGGGCCAACCTAATGAGAGTCCAATAGGCAAATAAGTTAAGTCCAATAAGCAACTACTAAATATTAATTTAATGCAGATTAGCTTGAAAAATAAATAGATAAAATTAAAACTTACAATTTTAGATTTAGGGTTCAAACAAAAAAATTAACCAAACCTAAACCCAATATTTTAAGAAGTAATTGCTAGAATTTTTTAATACATTTTCATTATATTTTAAATAATTAACTAATATAAGAACAACACTCTAAACTAAAGTTGTTCTAATATTAGTAACTTGATTATTAACATTGAAGATGATTCAAATACATAATAATGGTACAAAGTCAATCAGCAAAAATACTTGAATTAACATAAAAATTGTAAAATTAATAATACTTGTATGTTCCTAAATAATTAAATTACTGTTAAATAATATTGTTCTTGTCAATATTTAATATGAGATACTACACATAAAATAATTTTACTCAAATTAAGTGAAATATTGAGTTAGTTAGTATAAAATAGTAATACATTTAAAAATATTTAAATATAAATAAATTGTATGAGTGCACATACATGGCAGATTTTTAACTAAAAAAAAATATTATTTCTTTAGTAAAAATACTCCCATAAATAGCTTAAGATCATCTTTTTCGACGACAATGCCTTTTATGTTCACTACTCCAGTGAATTAGTTGACATTTAGGACTACAATATGCTGTATTCCAACAACAATGGTAAATAGCTTCACTTTCACAATTCACACACTAGAAATATAAGTTTTATAAAAATAAATTAGTAAACCTAATATTGGAAGTATTACCACAAATTTGGTTAAACAGGATATTGAAAATAAATAAATCTTATTACTTGGTTAAAGCAGTGATATATCCAAAAAAATTATTTGAATGTTGGTTCTCAACATTAACTTTTTATGTGATTGTCATATTTAATTTTTTATTATTTACTTACAACTAAAAAGAAATTTTACTTTTATAAAATCTTGTTGCAGTTAATCTATATTTTTATCATTTAAAAAAAGTACAAAAAATATAGAATAAAATTAGAACTTTATTGAATAAATTACAACAATAGTATTAATGTTTAGATACCAAAATGCAATAGATTTTAAAATGTTAAATATATTAGGACTGTCAACCCTTTGTAATGAGTCGTTAAAATCCCAGCCTTAGTAATGAGTAATGACTAATATATTAATATACTCAACCACTTTTTAAAAAACCAGATAATAGAAAATTTAATTTTGTTTTTTTCTAGCTATACTAAATTTATGCATAATCTTAAAATGTGTTGTATGTGATTTAAAAAAGATATCTCTCTCATCATTAAAATAAAAATAAAATTACCCATTGCTTTCTCTTCACTTCAGACAGTGCAATATTGTGGTTTTCTTGCAATAAAGCAATCTCCTCTTTATGTTGTTCAATGAGTTGTTCAATAGCTTTACGTTTTTCACTTTCCATTTCAGCTCGTATCTAAAATTAAATATTTCATTCTAGAATATAACATAATATAAAATATATTTAAGAGGACGCTACACCCGTATGTGTTGTCTCCGTCTTACACGCGTACTACATAGCAAATTTTCGTTTGCTAGATTCAWTAGTGTGCTGTTAGTTTTGATATTAGAGTGAATTGACCCATTATCAAACTTTTAGGTAGGAACAGTATCTGTGTTCTAATGTTGGGTTTTTACAATATTTTAATTTTTAAATGAGTTATGAGCATGTTAAGTGAAAATATTTGAAAATTCACATAACTCGTTTAAAAATTAAAATATCGTAAAAAACCAACATGAGAACACAGATAATGTTCCTACCAAAAARTTTGAYAATGGGTCAWTTCACTCTAATATCAAAACTAACAGCACAATATTAAATCTAGCGAATGAAAATTTGCTATGTAGTCGCGTGTAAGACGGAGACGACCCATGCGAGTGTAGCATCCTCTTAATTACAAAATTAACCTTGTTTATGTAGCTTTTGGGAGGTTTTTTGCTAATTGGTTTTGTTTGCACTTTAACTGATCTTACTAAATCTTGACATGAAGAACTAACTGTTTCATCTTCAACAACATCAGGGTCTTTTAATCTTTCAGTTGTAGATGTTATATTTTCATCCACTTCATTTTCTTTAACTGGGGATTTTGTTTTCAATGGTGACACACTTTTTGATGATTTAATTCCTTCGGGTGTATTAGTATTTTCTTTTGTACTTTTAACTTTTGTTTTCAAATGTTTAACTGGAGTAYTATCTTCATTTATAGGTTCAATAACTTTTCTAGGTCTGCCTCTAGGTCTTTTTTCTACAATATTTTCAGGGCTGGTTTTTTTAATAGATAAAGGTTTCTTTACAACTTTTTTTGGAGGACTTATTTTTTTTTCTAGAGACAATGGTCTACCTCGTTTTCTTTTTATAGGCGTTACTTCATCCTTTGATTCTGATTCCTCAGTATCTGTCTCTACTTTTGTCTCAATTTTTACYGACATTTTCTGTTCTTTAACCTTTCTCTTTTCATAACGTTTTTGAATAGGTGAAACCGCCACTTTAGGTGGTTCTACTTCATCTTCTGAAGATGAACTAGAGGAAGATGATGATGATTGTGCAGCAAGACCAAATATAACTTTGTCCAGTTGAAGTTGATGGCGACGCAATTCCTCACATGCTTTGTTCCATTGAGAAGTTCGACCTTGAGACTAAAAATCAGTGTTGATTTAATATGGTTGAAATATATAACCTTACATTACTTTAAAAATATAAATAGATGTTTTTCATTGTAAGCAATATAGAAAACACATTTTTAAATTATAACAAATTAGTAATTTTTTTTGATGTTAACCTGCAGAGTATGAATGTTCACCGATATTGGTCGTATTTGAGATTTGTCAATAACTCCTAGTTGATGTTCACCACCAAAAAATCTTACTTCATACATATCACCTTCAATTTTCAAAACCTAAAAAAATATTTTTAAATAAAATTATAATAAAAAATGTCTTAATTGAACTTTAAATACTTTGGCTGGCCAATATGGAAAATCTTCTTGTTTTGCATACACTAGTTCATGTGGAGGCTTACATGGCTTACAAAACCAAAATTTTGAGTTTTTTTGTATGGAATACTTGTAACAATAACGGCATCTCATTATCTCATCCAAATCTCGATTACAATCTCTCAACATTAAACGGCCATAATCAGCTAAACTGCTATGAACTATAACATAAATAAACACTTGATTAAATCAAAAAAAACTATAGTATTGGTACAATCTTCATTAATTGATATTTACAATATAAAATATTTTTATGTTTAAAAGTTTAGGAAAGAATAGAGTTAAAGTTGCTAAAATTTACCGCCTTGAAAAATAATAATATTGTGAACAAAGGTCAATATATCTGCACGAAACTCTTCGACATTTTTATACTCATCATCATCAGCTTTATCTTCAATCATTTGAAGGTCTATAATTCTAAAATTCAAAGAAAATCATTAAAAATATATATATTTAAACCAGAGAAACTCTAATCAATTTACTTGAAAATAAGAAGATCTATCCTCCAAGGATCTTTATCTTTTAACGCACATTTCATGTTAAAATGCAAATCACTACCTTTTAGTTGACTCTGAAACTGAAGTCTGTCTGAAACATATGTCGATGGAGCAGTAGTAGCAATTTTACGTTCTGACCATGGTAAAGGTATCTAATTAATAAAAATATATTTATTACTTATATCAAATGCCTAATAATCATTTTAAAATTGAGGATAATTACCTTTTCTTTTAATCTACCAGTAGTATGATAAAGAAGCCTGTTAAGCTGACTTTTTTTAATCTTTTTACAAGATTCTTTTGTAGAAGCACAATTCTAAAAGAATATAGATATTTAATATAATTAAAAATAATAACTATAGCACTAATAGTAATATTTACTTTGCATATATTACAAATGAACTTATGTTTAACATCATTTTCAGGCAAATCTTTTTTTTCAATACAAGAAAGATGGTAAACTCGATAACAAGATGTACAACTTATCACATCTCCAGCACTGTGACATTGAAAACAGTACCAATCATGACTATCTTTATCAGCCTATAAAAAACATCACAAATTAATAAATATGTTAATGAATTAAGTAAAATAAGTTGCAAACTTTTTCTTCTGGAAGTTTATATCCTTCTGTTTCAACTCCAGCTTTTGAACCTTTATTACCAACTCTTTTGGTTAATATCAAAAGACCATCTCGTACACAATAATTTAATTGCCTTCCTACTTCCTCTGTCAAAAACAAAATATTTAAGTTTGAAAAACGTAATTATAATAATACTTTTATATTATACCTGGTGACATATTGTGGACTTTCGTCATATATTTAGTGATGCGATCAATATCGGGTACCTGCCTTTGAAAACGTATCACTTTCACCGCATCCCACAGCTGTTGAACAGCCAATGGGCATGAAATACGGCGGCGGCTCATTGCCATAAATAATCTATCACCCATGTCAATTAGTACACCAGTTATTGACTAAGAAAAAAATGTGTATACTTTTTGTTCATTTTAAAATGATGCAAGTGAAGCACCACTAGTCAAATTTGTAATTATTGCTCTAATAACACAATGATTGCTCCCAAATACATATCCAATAAAAATCAATCTGAAATTAAAACAAAATTAATTTATATTTAAAAAGCAATTTTATTCTTCAATAAACTACATTTTTCAAGTATATGTAAGCTATTAATTATTTGTGTTGGATTTTATCTATCTCTAGGTTTTAAAAGTTTAAACATGATCATATTTTAATAAAAAATGCAGATATTCTTACATTCTCTAAAAAAATTAGAAAAATTATCAATGAACACCAAAATATGATTTTTTTAGAAGACTCATTTATGTAAATTTTAAAATTAAGAACTACCTATTAGTACTAAAAGCCACTTATATAAATAAGTTTAAATAAGAATGCATGGTATTGAGAGTGAATCAAATATGCTTGACAAAATTGTGAGCATTGCGGCTTCAATAAAATAATATGAAGTTGATCAATAGGCGTTTTTATACATTACAGGTATTTTGTTGGTTTGGTACTAATAGATGAAATAATTGTACTTCAGTAAATAAACCTTTGGAACATAAGGTAACAGTCAACTCAGATGTAATTTTCAATTTATGATGCGATTGAAGACGGATACATCGCATGGTGAAGGCTCGTAGATAAGGTATGTTCGCATATTTTAGTCATATAATCGACATAATGATTAATGACACTCGCAGACA